CAACAAATATACACACCAATCAAACAAAACTTCTCCTATGGATAGAGCAATGCCCACTTTTGGAGTAGGTCAAGATTTCTAGAAACCCCCGAAACCTAGGGCTTAAAAGCGACCGATTGATCGAGCGGAGTGCCTGACTCGCCTTCTGACCGTGGACCTCTTAGTAAAGGCACAACGACCCAGAACGTGACGATCAAATGGCTTTCCCACTTGGTCGAAATCCCACACAGACCTTACCCCAAACACATCCAATCTCACACTCTCTCCCTCTTCCTGTCCCCCTCACAATCTCCTCCTCCCTATCCCTACCCCTCCTCACCATCTCCCCCTCTCCCTGTCTCCCACCAGGACCATCTCTGTTGGCGGCCGTGACGTCCTGATACAAGACATGGAAGGCTACCAAGTCGCTCATCCCAGCGGCACCGTGCCCCGCCAACCCCTCCACAAGGAAGACCACGACAACGAGCAGTTCAGCCGGCCAGGGGGAGACTACTTCACGCTGGAGAAGGACGCGCCTTATTACTGAAACATGTGGAGGCAGAACTTGAACTCCTTACTGGCGACAGTTCTCCCACAATGCAGTGCTTTCAACCGGAGGACGTCACAATAAATTTTAAAAATCAGCGGTTGTGCGACTGATTCAAACACACTCTTTTAAAATTGAAACGTTTTAAGGCGCCAATTCGAAAACACGCGAAGCAAAACATGCTTTTGTCCCATGTTCTTGTTTACAGTATAATATCATGTACAACTATTGACCGTTTTAAGTGCATTCTTGGTACTGGGGATGTCAACGTGTCAGCTCTTTGGTCTAGTTATTGTTTGTTTTAGTAAGGTTTTACGGTGCGCATTTCTTCGTAATGTGATATGAGCGCCAAGGGGTGGATGTCAACAGGGAAGGCCAAACGGGGAATCAGGCTTACTCTGCTCACCTCTCTAGCTTCAACAGCACAAAGTCTGCTTCCACTATCAAGGCATCCCGGAAACAACAGTTCTCAAGAGAGCGACAAACATACAAAAGAAATAGAGGGAAAATGACAATAGTTAGGATGAGGAAAGAAAAAGCAGCAGTTCCCCCTGTGTTGTTCTGGAACAGGATGAGTATGACATTGATAAATCAGCCCATTTACAATTCTTCTGTCCGTAGGAACATGTAATATCCCCTCTTTGGGAATGGCCTAAAGACACTTCAGTCAGTAGCATTGTCCGGGGGGGGGGGATTAATTTTTTGTATAGACGTATTTTGTTGTTGGGATGCAGTATTGCAATCAGCCCTGGTTGACACGGGTGGCAAGGCAAAGCAGCCCCCCTGCTAAATCAGTTTTTCTCAATTGTATTTGGTCGCTTTTGAGCACAAGGGGGCTATTCCGAAAAATGCTGTTTTGAGAAATTCGAAGGTAAAGTTTTTGCCCCTGTTTCATTTTCTTCAAAAGACAAGGAGAGTTTTCTCTATAACCAAACAAATATACACGCCAAAGAAACCAAATGTCTCCTATAGGTAGGACAATACCCACTCTTGGTGTAGGTCAAGATTTCTGGAAACCACCGAAATCTTGGTTAGCACGCTTGTCCTTAAAAGTGACCCTTTGTATTTAAGGGGGCGGTTCAACATTAGTTTTCACGTAATCAACCTGCTTGACACAAATAGAATATGCGTATTCTCGAAGGCCCAAACATGTCTCGGTATTCCCAGAAGAAAAGATAGAATTGGCAGACCAGACAACTGAGAGAATACACCAGCGTAAATAGCACTCACGGACACAATATGTATATTATTTTGGTTGTCCATCTGTATTATTATTTCCCCTTTATACATAAATCTAAGTCCTGCTGATGTCAAAATCAATTGCCAAAGAGGATGTGTCGTCGATTACTCAATTAATCATGACATCAGCTGACAACAATTTCGAAGGGTTGCCTTTACACTTACTTTTTCTGCAGTGAATATGTTGCTATGTACT